CGTCAACGCTTGAAAGGTTTCGGGATTTGAGTTTCAACTGTTCGGGGTGTGGGCTGCTCTTCCTCTACTATGCCGACTACTGCAGGCCCAGTCAAATAAACTTGAGACAAGAGCCAATAACCAAGAAAAACTACAGGAACAGAATGAACGTACCGGTCGGTCGGTCTCTGGGCACAAGTTCAAGTTGGATCACGCTGGAAGCAGCGAGGCAAAGCAGTCAAGCTTTGTGCAGGTTCTTTTCGAGCCTTTAACCACGTCTTACGGCTTACAGCCAGCGGAAGGAAGCATCAGACAGCATCTCGTTTGCTGGACTGGGCATGGCCATCCAAAGCGAGGAGTCGCGACGGCGACAGGGAATGAAGCACAGAGCCACCTAGAAGCCAGAACCTGGAAGGAGACGGAAAGGCAGGCACACAGACCAAGGTTTTGCACAGAAATCAAGGCCTTACCAGGAGCAACGTCTCATGTATTGTTCTTGTTTAATCAACAAGGCTCTCTGCAAACCTTTAGGGCGCTTCACATCCCACTACGCTTTGCACATGCATCAACTCTGCACATCATGCTGTCGGCACAACACGGGGCAATAAAACAGGTGCCTCTTGCCGCCATAACTCTCGTCGCTGACAAAGATGTTCTTCCATGTATTTACCTTAATCACAAGGGCTCATCCCCAAGCATACTCAAGTTAAGAACATGCTCGGCTCCCAGCATTCGAAAGTGTAGAAGCTCTTCGGAGGATTTCCTTGATGCTCTGGTCTGTCGATTCGTTGGCTTTCAGCCTCACACTTTCCGTGCTTTTGCACCGTGCACATCCATGCTCCTCCCTGAGGTCTCCGGCACCATGTAGTCGACGATCCGAAAAGCAATCTCGGAATTGACAACAATGTTCTGCCCGCCACTCCTGCAGCCACACAAGCATGAGAATGCGTGGGGGCCTCTGACCATGGAAAGCGACAAGGCTGGGACGAGCCAGTAAGTTGCCTTCCAGACTAGGACGTTGGTGCGCTCAAGAATTGTGATGTTGAAATGTCCGAGTTCCAAACCACACCAGGCGCACAGCTGTCTGTTCCACGCCGAGCTTGTCTCAGCCGGGCTTGCAGAACATTGCTTGCTAAGGGAGTGCGCAAAGCCTGTGGAGCCCACTGCTGTGTCCCGAGGCATCCAGGACGATGACCTGTAACTGCTGCTTCGGGTAAAGCTCTGCCATGATGCGTCCTTCGGTGAGTGCAGATCCAACCAGGAAACGATAAAGCCCTTTGATTGAAAATGGCATCGTATGCGCACACTAGCCAACTCTTTTCTGGATCCTTCGATTTATCAACGCAGCCGTCAATGCAACATAGCACGGTGTCCTAGAAGGCGGAGGAATGCACTGTCTGGACCAGCAATGTCCCTGTAGTCGATCTTATTGTCCTTGCTGCCACGGATTTCGATGTCCTGAGAGTATCCGAGATTCTTGCCAAGCCGTATCAGGAATAATGAACAAATGGCCTGGAAGAAACTGAACTGCTCGGTTCGCCTCTCTCCTGTGTTTCTCGGGCCGTGCTGTTGTCATTCTGTGCCACTGCATGCCAGTGCACAGTCTAGGCGCATGCCAACTTCGGGCAGAACTGGATTTCCAATCTGTCGCAAAGCAGTCCTAGCGTAAGGGGCGCCCCCAGCTCGTACATCTTGGCGATATGCCTTGGACACGCAGGAAAATCCAGGACCGGGTGTTTGTCTGTCTGTCTGTCTCTGTGTCTCTCTGTCTTTCTTTCGCGAGGGTAAAGGAAGACGGAGCGACCCTCTTCCCCGGCGCTCTGCGCCCCCCAAATGCTTTCTGTCTCTCTGTCGCTCTATCTGTCTGTCTGTTTGTCGGTCGGTCGGTCTGTCTGTCTGTCGGTCGGTCTGTCTGTCTGTCGGTCTGTCTGTCTCTCTCCTTCTCTCTGTCTATCTCTGTCTCCAGCCGCCGCAGTTTTGGGGCATTTCCAGGATCTCCTAGACTGCCCTAGTCAGGCTGCTATAACTGTGGGCACGCATCCATCGAATAATCTTTCTCTTGCTGGTGTCTGTGCTGGCGAGGAGGCGCTAAGCCACTCAGAGCCGCGCTCGTAAAGAACCTCCAGCGTGCCAGTCTCTGCGATAGCAAGTTTTTTGGTGTTCTTCTGACCTGGAAAACAAACCCCAAAATTGCCAGCAGCTTCCTATGCATCTGCTCCGTCGAGGAATGGGCCACTACACCACCAATCGGCAAAATCCTTTGACACCTGCAGACCGTGTGTCTCTGGTCCTACATTCTGAAGTGTCGCCTCACGGCGTGCCTGGTGCGTCGCATCTTGAGGATTGCCTGTCTCCCTTGCCTGGCAATGGCTGCATCTCAAGTCGCTAATCCGCTAAACACCGTGTCCAGGAAAGAAGCCACACGACTATCCTCTCTCGTCTGATTGTGGTGGAATATAGCCGGCACGCCAACAAGGGAAGGTTCTTGGCGCATCTAGCAAAGCAAGGACATTCCCACCTTGACTTAATCACTGTCGGGTGTGTCACAAGGACGGAAGACTCAGGGACTGCGCTCTTCTTGTTGCTGCTGCCAAAACAAGGCTGTCTCCTTTGGACTTCAATCGAGAACAACATAAATCGCAACCTTACGCAACGGAAGTGACCTTCTAGACGGCGCTAGGGACCCTCCTTCCTGTCAAAGCACACAAACCCGGGCTAATACATGTAGGCGTAGGATCCACCCTCTCGCGCCGGCTTCTGCTTTCTATTTCCATCCCATTCATGTCTCGAAAACGACTTCCTGGCATTCGCTGTGGCCATGCTTTCGCGTCTTGCGTATGCCTCCAAAAAGTGCGCGGTCTTCTCCAGCAACTCTCCCGCCTCGTATCTAATGTGAATATGAGGAAGGCACAAGGGACTTGCGGATGTAGCGAGATCGGTGAGTGTCAGCATTCTGTGCAACTCTCTTTCGGGCCACGGCAGCGTTTCTCTTGTCCTGGGGTACATCGACCTCCAAGAGTCAGCACCCCAGCCCCCGCGCACAACCTTCGACACATACCTCACGAGATAACCATTGCAGCCATGCCTGTCTTCTGTTTTTGAGGTTGGCAAGCAGGGCTTGAGCACCTGTCAAGATTGCCAAAGTTCCGGCGAGATGCACGCAGACGTCCTTCCAGCAACTCCGAGGAAACAAGGGCGGCGACCCTGCGTCGCAGACATGGCCGTTTTGTCGGGCTGCGTAAATTTAATGATTCTTGCAAACTGACCCTGTCATGTGCATTATGTCCTGAAAACATCTACCCGTGTGCCGTTTCATTTAAGTCTAAGTTTGATGCTGGCCCCTGGTCTGCATTTCTTCCCCGAATAACGCAAGCTGCAGCCCGAGGCAAAGCCAGGAAGATTCAACAGGCGGGTAGGTCAGCGCATCTCGTGCGCTTGTCCTGCTTTCAAACTCGCCCTGGGACTGCTTCGACTATTGAATTCGAATTTCATGTCCTCCTGATGTGTGCTGACTGCTTGCCCAACACAAACAGCTGTCACTGTTCGAGACAGTATGGCACTGCCGCGAACTTGTTTGGAATTTGGAACGAGACCTTCAAGCTTTGTCAAGCTTAAATGGCCTGAACATGTGCAATCTACTCTGAGGCGCTCTCTGTTTGCTGGCACGTTTGGCGACTGCATGCAAACTGGTCAAGTCCAGTCAACAGCTCCACATTCAGCACAGCTCCGCATTGCGCTGCAGTACTGTCAGAGCATGCGTTGTCGCAGCCGGCAAGACCACGACGTCCACTGAAATCTCAAGATAATGCCCATTGGCTGATTTGGGGCTACGGTCTTCAACCAAATGTCTTCGTTTGGTGAAGCGTCAGCATCACGAGGTCGGCCACGAGCCATCACCGCACTCTTCCCACTGATCTGGTGTCGGGTGCCCAGAGCGGTACTGGCCAGCCTGCATCTCACCTCCACGAGTGCTCCGCCTTGTGCGAGGCTATGCCAGTGCGGCCGAAGAACTGGTCCTTGGTGGCCACCCACGGCTCCAACGGTTTGTGTGGCGAAACTGCTGCAAACGCCGCTTTGTCACGAGCAGTTGTAACATGTTGTAACTCTGAGATGCAACCCTGCGTCTCCAATGAAAGCCATGTCAGAGGCATTGTACCGCAAAACCTCGCTCAAGCTTGCAGATAACTGCCAAAGGAACCAACCCTTGCCAAGGCCCAGCCCGAGCTGGGTGAAAGACGCTCATTGCGAAGGGTGGCGGCCCCGTGCCTCTCACGGGGCGGGCTGTGTTGATCCTCTTGACTTGCCCTCTCGGATCCAAGTCGGGTCGTCTTTAGCAGCGATGCAATTCGAAACCTTCGAAACAGCACAAGGACCTACTCGCGCACTTGCTGCACAAACTCAAATTGGCAAATGTGAGCTGGAGCTACATGACTCGAGTGTCTCCGTATTCGTGCGTGTGAGTGTGTATGTGAGTTAGCGTCCTGTGTGGATGCGTGCGTTTCCGTCTGCGTGCGTGGGTCGGTGTGTATGCGTGGCACGTCTGACCATGCAAAGAACGCCTCATATTCCGTTTGTATCGCGAAACCTGAAACCTCCCCCTCAGGGCTTTCACGTTCAAGCCTTTTGCTTCTGAAGACTATGCCTATGCATCAAAACCAAAACGACTGGAGTACATGTGTCTGCGTGTGTGCATGTGCATGTGCATGTGCATGTGTATGTGCATGTGCATGTGCATGTGCATGTGCATGCGTATGTGCATGTGCATATGTGCATATGTGCATATGTGCATATGTGCATATGTGCATGTGCATGCATCTGCCACCCTGCGACTACGGACTGTTCATTTACGATTTCAAGGAAAGCAGGGGGCCGTCCCTCTTGTCATTGGTGGATGGCCAACGAAGCGGCCAATGACAAGAGTTGAAAAGGTAATTACCTGCACGAGCAAATGAAGATATTGAAGAAATTCGAAGGGATGCAACAGGATGACACAATGAGCATGAACAGATTGGAAAAGCAGATGGTAGGCCACGATTGTAGGAGTACGTGCTATCCCACGTTTGGCTTCGGTCAATCGAGGGTCAAATCAAGTGCGTAATTCGGCTGGGAATGTGTTATAGTGCCAGTCGTGAAGCTCCAGCTTTATTTGGAAGCCTCGGTGGCCAGACGCGTGGGCGCAACAGATTCCACTAGATACTCTCTTGCCTGAATGATGAAAGATGACGGGATACTGTCTCCTCGTGCGCCTAAATGCGACATATACTAAATTCGACATCCACTTGTGACTCCTAAATTCGACAGCTACTACATGCGACATCTCCTAATCAACAACCTGCCTGCAAGAACGGGCAGTGTGAGGAGGGCTGCGGCTCCGACCTGCGATCTCCCACATTGACCCAGCAACGAGAATACAGTGTTGGGGGGTTGCGGCTTTGCCTGCGAAGTCCCACGCTGAAACAACAATAGTTTGGCAATGTTGGGAGGGCTGCGGCCTTGCCTGCGTACTCCAACGCAAACCCAACAACGAAGCTACAGTGTTGGCGGAGCTGCGGCCTTGCCTGCGAACTCCCACACTGCGTCAACATAACTCAACGATACCTTGGCCTGCGGCTTTGCCGCCGAACTCCCACATTACCCAACAACGAAGCTACAGTGGTAGGAGGACTGCGGCTTTGCCTGCGAACTCCCACACCGAGTCAACGATGACATGGCAATGTTGGCAGGGCTGGGGTTTTGCCTGCGAACTCCCACATTGACCCTGTCTTCATCCACAAAGCATTTCTGCCCTGAACCATACACCCTAAAAGCCAGGTGAAGAGGAAAATGCACACATGGTGCGCAAGCTCTTGTCATTGGCCGCTTCGTTGGCCATCCACCAATGACAAGAGGGATGGCCCCCTGCTTTCAATGAAAAGTCCCTTAGTCACAGGGTGGTACACACACAGCTGCCCCCGTGAAGGGGTAACACTAACCGCAGCAGATCTACGCGTTCCAACATAAGCGACCAGCACTCTACACGTTCCAACATAGACAAGCAGCACTCTACACGTTCCAACATAGGCGAACCGCATTCTACACGTTCCAACATAGGCAAACGGCACGCTACACGTTCCAACATACGCAAACGGCACCCTACACGTTCCAACATAAGCAAACAGCATTCTACGCGTTCCAACCTAGGCGAATCGCACTCTGCACGTTACGAGCTCTAACATATGTTGCGCATTCTGTCACATAGAGTATTTGTATTATTTGGTTGTTGTGGTGCATGCTTGAGTGAGGGAGAGCTCAGGGAGACAGGGCGGTGAGATGAAAGGGTGATGAACGCACGTGCAAAAAGATCATGCGCGATGGGAGATGCACTCTCCTGGTTTTTCCGTGGTGCATGCATGAGTGAAAGCGGTTTGAAGAAGACAGGATGATGAAATGGAAGGGTGATGAGCACGCATACAAAGAAGACTCCACGAATAAAGAACTGCGCACCATGTGTGCATTTTCCTCTTCACCTGGCTTTTAGGGTGTATGGTTCAGGGCAAAAATGCTTTGTGGATGAAGACAGGGTCAATGTGGGAGTTCGCAGGCAAAACCCCAGCCCTGCCAACATTGCCATGTCATCGTTGACTCGGTGTGGGAGTTCGCAGGCGAAGCCGCAGTCCTCCTACCACTGTAGCTTCGTTGTTGGGTCAATGTGGGAGTTCGGCGGCAAAGCCGCAGGCCAAGGTATCGTTGAGTTATGTTGACGCAGTGTGGGAGTTCGCAGGCAAGGCCGCAGCTCCGCCAACACTGTAGCTTCGTTGTTGGGTCAATGTTGGAGTTCGCAGGCAAGGCCGCAGCCTTCCCAACATTGCCAAACTATTGTTGTTTCAGCGTGGGACTTCGCAGGCAAAGCCGCAGCCCCCCAACACTGTATTCTCGTTGCTGGGTCAGTGTGGGAGATCGCAGGTCGGAGCCGCAGCCCTCCTCACACTGCCCGTTCTTGCAGGCAGGTTGTTGATTAGGAGATGTTGCATGTAGTAGCTGTCGAATTTGGGAGTCACAAGTGGATGTCGAATTTAGTATATGTCGCATTTAGGCGCACGAGGAGACAGTATCCCGTCATCTTTCATCATTCAGGCAAGAGAGTATCTAGTGGAATCTGTTGCGCTCATGCGTCTGGCCACCGAAGCTTCCAAATAAAGCTGGAGCTTCACGACTGGCACCATGACAGATTTCCAGCCGAGTTACGCACTTGATTTGGCCCTCGATTGACCGAAGCCAAACATGGGATAGCATGTATTCCTACAATTGTGGCCTACCATCTGCTTTTCCAATCTGTTCATACTCGCTGTGTCATCCTGTTGCATCCCTTCGAATTTTTTCAATACCTGCACTAGCTCGTGCAGGTACCTTGTCAGCTCTTGTCATTGGCCTCTTCGTTGGCCATCCACCAATGACAAGACAAGAGGGATGGCCCCCTGCTTTGTTTGAAATTGTAAATGAAAAGTCCCTTAGTCACAGGGTGGTACACACACAGCTGCCCCCGTGAAGGGGTAACACTAACCGCAGCAGATCTACGCGTTCGAGCATAAGCGACCAGCACTTTGCACGTTCCAACAAAGACAAGCAGCACTCTACACGTTCCAACATAGGCGAACCGCATTCTACACGTTCCAACATAGGCAAACCGCACGCTACACGTTCCAACATACGCAAACGGCACCCTACACGTTCCAACATAAGCGAACAGCACTCTACGTGGCCCTACCTAGACGAATCACACTCTACACGTTACAAGCTCCAACATATGTTGCGCATTCTGTCACATAGAGTATTGTATTATTTGGTTGTTGTGGTGCATGTTTGGGTGAGGGAGAATTCAGTGAGACAGGCCGGTGAGATGAAAGGGTGATGAACGCAAGTGCAAAAAGATCATGCGCGATGGGAGATGCACTCTCCTGGTTTTTCCGTGGTGCATGCATGAGTGAAAGCGGTTTGAAGAAAACAGGATGATGAAATGGAAGGGTGATGAGCACGCACACAAAGAAGACTCCACGAATAAAGAACGACAAGGTACCTGCACGAGCTAGTGCAGGTATTGAAAATTCGAAGAGATGCAACAGGATGACACAGTGAGCATGCACAGATTGGAAAAGCAGATGGTAGGCCACGATTGTAGAAAAACGTGCTATGCCATGTTTGGCTTCGGTCACTCGAGGGTCAAACCAGGAGTGTGTGTGTGTGTGTGTGTGTGCGCACACCCTGATTCTAAGCTAAGGGTCCTTGGAAATTTACAGTGATTGCAGCAGGGGGATGCCCCACACCTGAAGAGTGGGCATCTAACAAAGAGGCTCTTCAGCGTGTGCTGATATGGTTCCGGGACGCCGGAACCACGTACCTGCAGGTTGGAATGGCAACCAGGCAAAGCCACAAACCTGAAAAGAACTCAGTTTTGCCTGTTAGGAAGAAGGTCCTCGAGGAGCTACATCGTCATCGTAGAGTATCCTTCGAGTCATCAGTGGCGGAAGCCGACTTACGCAACCTTTACCATTCTCCGTGTGTCGGCCTTGTTGCCAGTGGACACCTAGCCCGGTCTGGGCAGTGTCATTTTCCAGATTTTGAGCTGGGAATACCCATGTAACCGGGGCGGCTGGACCGCGTTGAGCTTACCACAGCACCAAGTTGTGGCCTTCTCTCTCTCTCTCTCTAGGTGTGGCCCACGAGCTTACCATAGCACACCGGATCAGTATCGGACTTGTGGTCCAGGCTTTAGGGCGAAACCCTAATATTTGTGGCCCTACGCAGCCTCCAGCGACCGAGAGTCTGATAGTGCACGGGAGTACGGATTCCCCCTCGCAACATAGCTGCAGTGATTTCTAGGGGTAGGTTTTACGTGTGAGGCAGGCGCGGTAGGTCTTAGGTCTGAGGTGCGGTAGGGCTGAGGTCTGAGGCGCGGTAGGTCTTAGGTCTGAGGTGCGGTAGGTCTGAGGTCTGAGGCAGGTGCGGTAGGTTTTAGGTCTGGGGTGCGGTAGGTCTGAGGTCTGAGGTAGGCGCGGTAGGTCTTAGGTCTGAGGTGCGGTAGATCTAAGGTCTGAGGCGCGGTAGGTCTTAGGTGTGAGGTGCGGTAGGTCTGAGGTCTGAGGCAAGCGCGGTATGTCTGAGGTTTGAGGCAGGCGCGGTAGGTCTTAGGTGTGAGGTGCAGTAAGTCTGAGGTCTGAGGCAGGTGCTGTAGGTCTTAGGTCTGAGGTACGGTAGGTCTGAGGTGTGAGGTGCGGTAGGTTCAAGAGTCGAGTTCAGTTGTTTGCGTTGCATTGTTAACGTATCCTGTTCAGGATGGTTTCCCCTCGTATGAGGGATGTGTGTGTGCGCACACCTCGATTCTAAGCTTGAGGTCCTTGGAATTTTCTGCGTGGGTCTCATAGCGCATGGGAGTAAATACTCCTCTCGCAGCAGGGAGTCTGGCTGTTTCGGAACATGTCGACTTCGCAGGTATGGACATTTCTTATCAGGCATCCTTTCCGAGCGACACGCCACTGTGGATACTGCGTTGTCCTTGTCCCTGCAAGATTGAAATCAGCAACTGCATAGCTTCTTCGAGTGCTTGTGCTGTTGTTTGCTTCATGTCAGGTCTTCCAACGCTTGAAAAAAACTTTGCCTGATCAGGTTTTCAGCTGCAGATGGTTAGCATTCACCCGACAGGCTTCAGATGAAACGCAGCGCGGAAGATGCAGGTTTTCCATTCTACTTCAACCCAACTGACGTGCCACCATACGGGTGCCGCCCGATGTTTGTATGCGTTGGCTGAGGATGGATGTTCAGGTCTGCCGCAGGATTCCTGATACAGCGCATGGCCTTAAACTTGTCAGGACCAGGACACATGTTCATTGATCGTGTGACAGGTTTTGAGTGAAGAACCCTTGCCGTGCTTTAGGTGCCAATTCAGCTGACCCCTCGGAAGAGGGGTGTGTGTGTGTGCGTACACCCTGATTCTAAGCTAAGGGTCCTTGGAAATTTACAGTGATTGATTGCAGCAGGGGGATGCCCCACACCTGAAGAGTGGGCATCTAACAAAGAGGCTCTTCAGAGTGTGCTGATATGGTTCCGGGACGCCGGAACCACGTACCTGCAGGTTGGAATGGCAACCAGGCAAAGCCACAAACCTGAAAAGAACTCAGTTTTGCCTGTTAGGAAGGTCCTCGAGGAGCTACATCGTCATCGTAGAGTATCCTTCGAGTCATCAGTGGCGGAAGCCGACTTACGCAACCTTTACCATTCTCCGTGCGTGTGTGTGTGTGTGTGTTTGTGTGTTTGTGTGTGTGTGTGCACTTCTCTCGTGTATGAGATAAGGGGCTCACCACCCACGTTTCTGCAGGGGGAACGGAACGGGGCAGGGGAGATCCGTCCAACGAAGCTCCACCCTCCACCCCCACCACCTCCTGCTGAGGTTTCCCCGTCCACTCTTGCTGCAGCGGTCAGTCTTGCTGCAGCGGTCAGCCAGCAAACAGTGCAGACGCACCCTGTTCAAGTACAGTACGGCATACAAGCACAAGAGACGGCATATGTTGGAGCTTGCAGAGTGCGGTTTGCCCATGTTGGAACGTGTAGAATGCGGATCGCATATGTTGGAACGTGTAGAGTGCTGTGCGCCTATGTTGGAACGTGTGATTGGGAATTCGCCCATGTTGGAACGTGTAGAGTGCGGTTCGCCTATGTTGGAAAGTGTAGAGCGCGGTTCGGCTATGTTGAAACGTGTAGAGTGCGGTTCGCCTATGTTGGAACGTGTAGAGTGCGGTCCGCCTATGTTGGAACGTGTAGAGTGCGGTCCGCCTATGTTGGAACGTGTAGACTGCGGTTCGCCATGTTCGCCGTTGTTGGAACGTGGAGAGCGCCGTTTGCCTGTGTTGGAAAATGTAGAATGCGGTTCGCCTATGTTGGAATGTGTAGAGTGTGGTTCGCCCATGTTGGAACGTGTAAAGTGCGGTTCGCCTATGTTGGAACGTGTAGAGTGCGGTTCGCCTATGTTGGAACGTGTAGAGTGCTTTTTGCCGTTGTTGCAACGTGGAAAGCGCAGGGGGCTTCTTGACTGCACAACGTGGGTTGCCGGAGCCAAGCATGTGTCCTCAGAAGTAATAGAGCCCGACAGGGCCTGTGTGTGTCCAACTCTGTACCAAAGAGCTTTTACTGTTTCATTGAGTTCCGCAGGGGCACCAGGGATGTGTGGCTCGGCCTGGTGCAACGAAGCTCCAGTCACACATCAGGATATGGTCGAGGGACGCCTTGGCCACGTACCTGCATCTCGCTTGTGACGTCATGCATGTACTCTCGCTGTACATTGGTTATCCTCGAGATCAGTAACCCTAGAGTGCGACTTCCTTGAGCTGACTTCTAGCAGACTTCGAGACCTGTGACACATGTGTGTCTGTGTGTGTGTGTGTGTGTGTGCGTGCGTCTGTGTGTGTGTGTGTCTGTGTGTGTGTGTGTGTGTGTCTGTGTGTGTGTGTGGCTGTGTGGCTGTGTGTCTGTGTCTGTGTGTGTGTGTGTGTGTGCATGTGCGTGTTCGTGAGCATTCTGTGGTGCAACCGAACACTCATCGGCAAGTGTGCATGTCGCAGTGAACTGTGCCTTCCAGAACATTGCAGGAGCTCAGCTTCTCGCAACCTAGGACAGGTCTGCAGCTTCAAATCGGGAAGACACTTCAAGGCAATGAAAGTGCTGTCGGATTTCGCTCCATGATGACTTTGATGGCAAAATCCAAGAATCCGGAGCCTGCATGTACCCAGGTTGGTTCGAGCTTTGTCCACCAGCCCCTGGAAACAATGGGCCAGTCACACGGATACGGCCTGCCTTTGTCGCCACTGAAGATGTGATTGCCAATATTGGCACCGCATACCTGACTCAAAGCTCACTCGCTTGGGAGGCCATTCCAAGACGTCCCACACGAAGCTGCAGAGCTGAGTACGAGAGGAATCCTGCCATCTTCCAGCCTTGTGTGTAACGAAGGGCCACCGCCAGAGCTCACCTCCGACTTCATCAAAGCCGCCTGGGCTTGCTGGCCACCGCGACTACTCTTCTGATTCAACGCCTGCACCTCTGCACGCGCTCACTTACTGCTGGACACATCTTCCAGGCGACGGATACATCTAAGACCAGTCCTTCTGGACTTTGAGTTCAATGCTTTCGAGCACTTCGGCTCAGCCTTCGAAACTTGAAGCTTGTCTTCGAGTTTTGGCCCTGCCCTTCGGTCTTCCCAAAGCCAAGCCACGAGTTGCCACGTGGTCCATGTCAATGTAGATGCCACCGTACTTCAATGGTGCCTGTCCCGAGCCAGCCCCATGAGGGAAAAACCGGCTGCAAACTGTCTGCCTCAAGTCGCCAGAAATGAGACTTCAGGGCACAGACACCTGCCAGGATTTCGGTGCTAAACACCATCACTCCGACGAGGAACGATGCATTTGCCCCACAGCATTGCCACCACAATCACTTGAAACTTGCCAGTGTCATCGCGTGAGGCAACAGCGAAAAAGGGAGAAGGCTGAGGCAGCTGTTTTCGGCTCCGACACCACACGTACCCAAGCCCAGGCCTTCATTCAACAGTCGAAACATCCCAGCAATCACCCTGTCTTGCCTGGATTCCGGTTATTCTCGTGAAAGGTGTCCAGATGCCGGATCACGCGGAGCGATTGGAAGGACTCCGCCTGCACCGAAAGATGCGCACCAGCCTCGCAGCTGCCCACCATACGGAGCATTCCCTTTCAAAGTAGGAGCTAGCGTGTTGAGAGATGACTTTAAGTTCAGCTGGAAGCCACTGAAGGGCTGAAGGCCTCCAAGTATGCATCCTGCAGTCTGAGGCTCACCATGCTTACTGAGCACGATAGGACGGCGCACTTTAGGAAGTTGAGGTGTCCTTTCTTTCGATGGCACCGGCTGGGCGTGCAGATGTTCCATTCTCGAGGATCATCTTCGAAAGAGGTGGGATCTCCTCTTCAGCGAGGATGCTGTTTGAGCTAAGACGTCTGCAACTCAGATTTCATAAAACACCCGTCCGTGTCAGTCCAGAATAAGATGCGGTAGTTGGGATTCTTGATTGCCTGCGCCATCATGTGCTTAGTTGGCAGATCTGGTGAGCAGGCTGGCCGCAACTCGCACAAATCAAAAGAACCTGCTGCACCCAACAGAAACAATGATGCCAACAAAATGCTCAGATGATGGACTCTATGGATACCAGGCGAGATTACAACGGTGCTAAGCCTGTTTATCCTCACGGCACCGTTCCGCATTTATGGGCCACATGATCAGATCGAACAGAAGCAGCATCTGCCATGTTTAATGATTCTCGTCAAGCTGCAAATCCTTGAACGTGTCTAGCTCGAGTCTCAGAGAGCGGCGAACACAACCAAATGAAGTGTAATATCTTCGGCACCTCAAGACTCAAAAACATGCAGCGCACGTAGAAAACTGGTAAACCAGCTTCCAACCGAAAGTAAGTAAATCAGCTAGCGCCGGGCGGCTGGGCGCGCACATGGCCTCGGAATCACCACATCGCCTCAGAAAGAGATCGGCTGATCAAGCCTCGAGGACTTCTTGAAACCGAAACCGACTCCGTCTCCTAGTGCCGTTGTGCATTCTAGCCGCTCTTGGGATTCAGCATGCCGTTCCTAAGCTGAGCACGGTCAGAAGGAAGGGACGAAGAGCAAGTCAGATCACTTCTGCAGCAAACTGCTTCACAGCCTGGCTTCTTCGGGTGGCCTACGCGAATAGCTCGCTGCACAAGCGTGGCCGTGGTGTCCTGGAGCCGAGGGTGCATGCGGTATGGCTGTGAGCGATTGCATGTGTAGGCTGCTGGCAATGATTGGTCGCCCAACCACATCGCTTGTCCAAGGCTTTTTGCACATCGGATTCGTCTTGTAGCCTGCCCATCATGCTCTCACCTCCTTCCCTGCCTTCCTCCCACTTCTTCTTCTACTACATGGCTTCAAGGCAGGGCTACAGCGCACTCCATCTCCGCAAGGGAGGATCATTGTGTATGTATGTTCGTGTAGCTATGGTCGTGCTCTGAACTCAACCCTGCAGCATAAACTGAACTCGGAAGCATCAGGCCCACCCGCCAGGGCACGACCATGTATATGTGTGGATGTGAATATACCAGTATGTATATATATATATATATATGTATATATATATATATACAATTATAATATATATATATATATATATAGATAGATAGATAGATGTAGACATAGATACAGACATACATACACACATACATAAACATACACAGACTCCTGACGCCATATGCTTAAGCATATATATATATATATATATGTATATATACATACCTATATGAACACATATGTGTACTTGTATGTAATTACTCATATAATTTGCATATGTTTGTACATATACTTATGTGTACTTTCGTAGACTTTTATGTATAATTATATCTGCTTGTATGTACTTGTATACACGTCGATATGCTTGTATATACTTATACATACTTATATACATTCATACATGTTATGTCATATATATATATATATATATACATATGTGTGTGTACATGCATTGCGGCTTACATGTATATGCACATACATACATACATACATACATACATGTGTATATATATATACACATCCGCAAACGGGTCTTTATCTATTTATCTTCTTATCTATTTGCCGATTTTTTTGGTCATATAGATACTTGTCCATTCATCCACCTACTTATCGATCTATCGATCTATGTATTTGTTTGCTCCCCCCTCCGAAGAAAGCATACCGTACACTTGTTTGCTGAGTTCTTCCACTGCTTCTCGTCTCTGGCATGAGCAATGTTGACACTCTACGGTTCGGGGGTCGTAGGACTTTTGCTAGTTGGGAAATTCGAGATTTTGCCCTAGCTTCACTCATGTGAACAGATTTGCCTGAAAGCAGAATGCGAGTGTTGAGTATTACCTATGACCCGTTTACTCACAGGCACCGCTTGAAGGAAGGCTCAGTTTGCCTTTGAGCCTTGTGCTTACACGAATGGCACCAACTGAACGCCAATAGTGCTTGTCATTATGCCCATAACCGTTGACTCGAACAAAAATGACCCCACCTGAAAGCAATATTCTAGAGCATTGCCTATGACCCTTTATCTCACACGAAAAACCCACCTTCAAGCAAGATGCTACTGCTGAATATTGCCTATGACCCCTTTACACACAGACACACGAATAGTCCGCCCTGAACCCCTCATATAATTTATGGGCATGCCCGTCCCACTACCCAGATTGGCCATGACTCGCAGTTGCAAGCTTCTTTGTGTGCAAAGAACTACAAACACATGATACGAGCGTATTCTACAAATACAAGCTATATGGACCCATAGCCATAGGTACTATACAGCAGTCGAATCAATACAATGCCTGCTTTACTCATTACTTGCGAGAGTCCTATAGATAGCCCAGTCGTTTCTGGCATGATCCATTCCCAAGGGCCTCTTGCGATGAAAGCACTTAGGAAGTCCAGCAAAGTGTTTGCTAAGTCACATACAAGTACGCATGATCTACGCCGGTGGCATATGAGACTCCCTGCAAACCGCGGGCTTTTGAGTTTCTTATAAACGAGAGAGGTGTCCGGTTCGGCAAACATGCCGACCCATGCAACCACTTTGTTCGTGCTAGCCTTGACAGTAATTAAATGTCGCATAATCCTTACCTTAGTCCACATCTTTATCCTGACCTTGCTATCTTCGACGATGTATTCACGTAGTTTCCATCGGAACGTCGCCATGAACAAACATGTGTATCATAAAATGTCAACTGCTTCAGTTCGTTCGGCACCGACAGTGTGCTGCTACAGCATTCAATATTTCGGGATCTGCTGTTGCTCCGACCCAGGTATTGAGGGATCCACCCTCATTTTGTGCTGGAGTGCCACAGGCTGGCTTGAGAACCGGGTTTGTAGTCACGGACAGAATGAGTCCCAAGCTGCACCACACATTGACAAACAAGTACACGAATATTACGGCTCTACAGTGTATAGGACTACGTGAGATCCTGATGCATTGTCTGTGGGCTTCGTTTCGTGTACGAAACAGAGTTTTCTGTGGCTAGCGCAGCAGCACTACATGACAGCAGCACGAGCTGCAAACTCTAAACATTGGAATGGAACCTTTTGACCTCCTTGGACATTTAACCTTCCATTGCTCCTGGTAGAGGACGGAACCCCCAGAAGGTCTCCACGCAATGCTGCAAACTGATGGGAGCCTTGAGAAATAGCACCAAGGGCCAGAGAAGCCGAAACCCACGAGGCACCGGCAGCAAACGCGGTGGAAAACACAGTGCTGACTGAAAAAGGAAACAACAGACAACAGGCGTCCCACATCGTCCCACCATGCTGCGGATTGGAAAGGAGTCAACGTGGAAACTAAACTACGTGGCGAGGTCGTGTCTCTACCGCTCCCCCCTTCCCTTCCTGCTTCTTCCACTAAGTTAAAGGGAAGTAAATATTTGCTTTTCTGCCGGCCTGCAGCAAGGTGTGAGAGCTTGGATGGCTTGTTGGCCGGAATATTCGAACAAGGGAATAGCTTGCAACATATGTCATGCAAGCAACCAATATGAGAGCTTCAGGGTTTGGAAGGCCAGGAGTCTCTACTGTCTCTCAGATCATCTGCGATGTATGTTTCACTCGAGGTTTGCGCCTCTGCCTGTGAGGTCGCCATTAAGGAAAGACACCTGGAGACAGCGCGACTGCAGAGCTCCTGGTCTATTCTGAGGCAATAATTCCAGGCACTGAGCGGCCTCAGCCGTAAATTTAAAAGTAGCTAGCTCCGGCGGCTCTGCAGCGTGCCCACCACTGATGGAGGACGGCCTCCATCCAGGTTCCGCTGGTTCCGTACACCTGTGGCAGATCCGGACTTCTCCAAACGAAACTCCCAAACCATCCATTCAAGAATCCACAAGGCAGCGGAGTGTAGCGATGCTCGTAGGGAGCCGGAACTCCAACTCCACCGTCAAGAAACGAACAGGTGCGCTCGACTCCCGTCATGCAAGCAGCTGGTACACAACATGCTTAGACTGCAAGGGGCAACGACATGGGCACTACCTACTCTCTGCGCTTCCAGTGCTTCTGAGCTGCGACTGGTGGTGGACGCGCGAGTTGGTCAGCCACGCAAACCTCCGGAAGCTCATGGAGGTGGGTTTAACGTGGGTTCGTATGTCAAGAAGAACGCGGCCACGCGGCCTAAGAGTCTAGCGTGTAAACGCCAACAGGCTGAACTGTCGGCATGCTCAGAAATCACAACACATCTCCCTGCAGTTTGGCATATGGTCAAGGAGCGTCCACGAAACGGCACCCTGCCTCTTCCCGAATGCTAGCTGGTGTCTTTGTCGGTGCAGTGCACGGTGCCTTTGAGAATGAGAGCGAACACGGGTGATTTCCCTGAGGGGCAACACAGCTTGGAAGCAGGCCTGTGGAGACTCTGCCGACCCACTGGCACATGGCACAGCCGGCGCGGCAACCTGCGTGTTGCACTCGCGCGGCTCAAGAAATAGATTGGGGTGGCCAAACCTGCGCGGCACGGATGTCTTGGATGTCCTGCTGAGCTTCCGCGTAAGGAGCATCCTCACGCGCTCGTCTCACCAGTGGAGATGCGTCTTGATAACACCAAAGAACGGAAGCTTTGCAGCTCAGGTGCCCAGAAGCCCGAGTCGAATTGCCAGGAGGATGCAGAGATGCAGACAAGACCCAGGAGAGCACCCTCGGGCATTGGCTGGTAAGTTCTGCGCCCGAATTTCGAGCTTAGCCGCTGACTGCCGACGCCGCCACGATGCTGTCGCGGCTGCAGGGCAACACCATCTTCGAGCCATCCCGAGCAGAAGTGTGAGGTCTGACTTCCTGGTCTCATTGTGCTAGAACCCTGGGCAATCCCATGTATCATGTGTCTGCTGCAGCAGAGCGTTGAGCTGACTCGCAGTCGCATAGATGTGGTCTTGGTACTGGCAGTGGCAAGCGCCAACAGTAGCAAGCCACAGTCACGGGCAGAAGTGCTGTGGGCTAGAATTGGAATCCGAGCTTCGGAACTACACAAAGTTGCGAGCTCGACTGCCTCGGCCTGGCACTTTTGCAGCTGGGAAATTGAGATCGACACGGCACCCCCCCGTTTGGGGGAGACACTTATTGAAAGATCTTACCGGGCAGTCTCGTCAAAAGGGCCGGAGATGGTGAGGCCTAAGGTCCGTCCTCCTTGAGTCTGCCAAGAAAACCGAAGTCCAGGTACATCTTGTGTGTCGTGGACAGAGCTGGGACCTGCTTGTAGTTGCCACTCTCCAAATTTGCCTTGATCTGGATAAGCAGGTTGCTGTAGGATTCCATGAAAGCATCGGTCTTCAAGGCCTTGATGAGCGCCCAGGTGAAGGCTCCTTGGTAGATTCCATCCACGTGTGCATCAGCGCTTGTCTGATCGTCCTGACAGCCAGAGAAGATCCAAAGCTCATGGTCTTGATATTTGGCCTTCCTGAGTGCACCCCGCAGGCCCTGGCCGAGAGGCTTGGCCGGTGCGGCCTCTTCATCCTGCTCCATTTCTGGTTGCGGGAGATATCGCAAGCGGATATCATTGTTGGAATGGCTCTTGGAAAAGGCAGTCCTTGGAATATTCCGGTCGGTGCAAAGCACGATGAAAGAGGCCTGCGATGGAAACTAGATAGCGAGCGCCAGAGCAGCGAGGTACTAGCAAACATCATCTCATCCATCCATTAATGAATCCAGCCACCTACCCATCCATCCATCCATCAATCCATCCATCCATTCATCCACTCATTCATCTCCATCCATCCATCCATCCATCCATCCGTCCATTCATCCATTCATTCATCCTTTCATCCATCCACCCATCCGTACATCCACCTCACTAAACCCTTTTCGTCCTTCTCCCCATGTTCTGCCGGGATTCAGCAGAATGGGGCGAAGGGTTTCCTCACATGCACAGGCTGCCTCCGGCTATGAACTAGTGGAAGTCACACACAGCGTCATGTTACCATTCGTTGGCGCTAGAGCTTCCCTGTGCGTCAAGAGATAATCAAGTACATGAATGAAGACATTAAGGGCCACCTCACGGCAACATCTCGGCCAACGTCTCGAAGACCTCACATCATGTCATGCAACCTCACGGCAACCTGAGAGACAACCTCACAGCATCACCATCATCATCATCATTCATCATCATCATCAACGTCACGTCGACAGCATCATGCCATGCCATCCAGACCACCTCGACCGCCACGCTCTCGGTAAAAGTGTGTGGTCGACTGACTGGCACGACTGACCAAGAAGTGAAGGAGTTAGCAAATCGGCCCCAAGAGAGACGTGCCATCACATGTCACTTCTGCGATGCCGAGGAACTGCTCATCCTGCTCGAGGTTCCCCACATAGATCTTGGCGCCTTCACCGGGCTTCAAACTTTGTACATGTTGAAGTGCCTTCGTCTTTGCGTCTAAGAGATCCTCAGCTTTCTTCACGGAGTCGTTGAAGAGCGTGGAGATGGACAAGCCCATGAGGTAGTTGTAGTTCGCTTGCTCATCCTCGAAGTAAGCCCCTCTTTTAGGGTACTCGTGCTTCTCCAGCAACTGGATCATCTCTTCCCGACTCTTCTTCTTGATGTCCAGTTTGCCGGAATTGACCTCTCGGTAGAAGCGCACCTTGGCAGCCACATCATCCTTCTGTCGGGTTAGTTGCTTCACCAACTTCTCTTTCTTGGCCGCAGTGAGGGGCCCTTCCTTGACGACCATCGTCTCACAAAGGTTTGCCACCGTGGCCGAGTGGCAGCAGTCAAAAACACAGACAGCCTTGCAACCCTTTGGAAGCGGATCGTAGAGCTTGTCGTGAATCTCCGTGTCGAGGATGACTGCTTCTGGCCATGCCTTGTCAAGGCAATCCAGGGGGCAGATGCAGTCGGCTGGCATAGCTTTCTTGTCCACCGAATACTGTGAACCGTGACCGCTGTAGTGGAAAAACAACAAATCTCCGCTGCCTGCATCCTTGTAAAGCCACTGCATGCCCTCTAGGATGACTTTCTTGTATGGCCATTGGCTCTTGTCCTGATCCTCGTTCAGCATCAGGATGTCTTCAATCTTGAAACCGTACTGCTTTACCAGGACTTGCTGCATGTTGTTCACATCGTTGATGCACCCGTGCAGCTCCGCGCGCGTGTTGCGGTAATTGAGACCAACGAGCAGGGCTTTCTTGCGTCCTGTGACGCTTGATGCAACTGTGGACAAGGCTTCGTAGGCAGGTCGCCCATCACTGCTGGAACAGCAACCTGCGTTGCCCATGGCTTCTTTACTACAGCCCCCGGAGTGTCTTGATGAAGGCAATGGCTCCACGAACCACGACACAGTCTCTTGGCCCCGTGCTGAGCAGCATTTTCCCTGCCGAGTCGATTGGTTCACAGGCCCAGCAGAGTAACGTACATGACAACGTGAGCCACAGACTCAGAGAGAGTGAGAGAGTCAACAAAGATAGAAAAGAAGGAGACAGAGAGAGACGTATGTGTAAATGCGTATACACCTATATACATATTCATACATATTGGCATCATACAAACAAACCAAACACTTGTACGCACACATGCTATCTCGGTAGTATGTGTACACGTGCACAGGCGCGGCTTTTTCGCATGCATATGCACACATGGCATCAGCAGACTTGTTTCTCCGCACGTGCGCGTCCCACATGCATTGTCTGCTGTGCGCTTGCATATGAATGCAAGCATGCACGTACTTATGTAAGTATTGTTATCTACGCACGTATGACTCATTGTTTGATGGAAAAGTCATTACGAAAGCAGAGTTGCGCGAAGCGACGTCATGGATCGAACAGACACGAAGCTGAGGCATCTCCTGTACCTGCTGACCTCCTCGGGCCCCCAACCCCAATTTGGCTGGGCCGGTGTGGCAGCCAGTCACACCCTGTTGAGTTTTGAAGTTTGTCGGCGGTCGTCCTGTTAGTCCGCTTTTGCTCTTCAGCTTCTCGAGTCTCCGTGCCTTCCAATCGTACGTTGCGATTGAAGACTTGAGCTGTTGGCAGCAAACACACCGAAAGGTCACGGCAGCGCTTCGCACTGAGTGGACCCGAAGGTGCGCAGGAAGACTCAGTGTGACATGCCTGAAGTTGACAGCTCTGAGATATACCGAATGCGGCACGGTGCTGCAAGTAGCACGAAACTGAAACTCTAGCCTTCGACCAACCGGGAAAATTCTATGTGCAGGGTTGGGAGTCAAAAGCAGTGAACGCGGGCCACCAATGCAACTCGTCGTTGGAGCTGTGATGAACGCCGGAAGATTAGAGAAGCACTGCCTACGACGGCCTACGACAGAGCGACTGTGCTGCTGTTCCGTTCTTCCCACCTGGCAAGCACAAAACACGCGAGCGACAGCCTGTGATAGAAGCGATGCGCAAGTCGGCAGTGCGACCACTTGAGTGCCCATGCGTCGATTGTACCTTGCCTTTGTATTCGAGTCATCCTGGGGTGCACAATGCAACTCACAGTCCACTGGCCTGCCCTGTTCCGTTACATGCGCTCCTCGGCTTGCGTGGAACCGTGGGCGAGCTCAGATTGCCTCGGAGTGGGGTGTGGAAGTTTGATGCCAGATGTTGCCCCTGCCCTAAGCTTCACCAAGGCAGCCAAGTGTCCAAGTTTCTCTGGCAGCGCGTTCTGAATCCTTCTGGACGGGCTGGCATCTTCCTCGTAAGCCCAAGGTGGTTCCTTATCATCTAACTGAAAGATTAGGATGACAAGGAGAACTGTTCGTCCGGCTGGCGGATGTGAAAAAACAAGCTCACGAGGGTGGCCTTGCTATCTTGCCCGAGCATGTTCAAGCAAACTTGCGCAGTGTGCTTGTCGAAGTGTCCGCCTGGCATCGCAAAGATGCCCCGTCTGCCGTGTGCTTAATTGCACGCAGGATACGCCTCTCCATCCACCCCCCTCGTAGAGCTGGAGAGCCTCACAAGCGCCGGAACCAAATGTTTCTGTGCAAGAATCACAAGAAGCCGCAAGCCACAGAACCTGCAATAAGACGTCGCTGTGACGAAGAAACCTGACCCGACGAAAGATGAATTCAGGATGACAGCTCCGAAAACTCGTCAGAATGACAGCTACTGGGACGGCAGCTGACGGGTGGTGATTCGGCCAAGACCTGGTTGCACAGTGCCGTACTCCAGGCACCGGAAGCTGCAATCTAACTGGAGGCCGAGAGGCAGTTGGCAATGGAGGGCTCTGATGCGACCTAAGATGACTCACTTTGGTACAAACTTGAGAAGGAGGTCACGAAAGCTAGGTGAAGAGGAGCTCGAGAACGCAGCAGCACGGATGAAAGATATATTACCCTGGTGGGGCATTCTGATCGCCGAACACTACTACAAGCCATCAATAACCCCCCAGGCATTCATTACGCCACACCGCTCTGTTTCCCGTACAGGAGAGGCCAGACTAGGTCTTGGATGAATCCCACCTCCATAACTGCACGGCTTCACTGCGCTGCGAGATGTATCCCCTGCCTCAATCTCGTTAAACCTGTGACAATCCAAATTCAAAGGGTTGGGACATGGAGGTCTTCGGTCCTGCGGTCTTTGAGCAGCTGGCCAGCTGCTGCATCTCAGCGCGCTTGATGCAGAGCACCTTCGAAGGCTCTTGGACTCTGCAGGTCGAGCGCGACGGCCTGGCCGAGAAGCGATCTGCTTCCCCCCTTTCTTGGCTCTCAGTCGAACGGTCGAACACGCCGAGGCCGTGACTCATCGTAGAGAACGCTCTCCAAGCCACAAATGAACTCGGCAAAGCCGGCCAGAACAAAACCGGCAAAAGCTGCGACACTAGCAATGCTTCGGCCGACATTCTTGCAGACTTGTGCCTACATGGTGTCTTGACTAGTCTTAGTCTTGAATGCGTCATGTACGGTTTGCTAAACTGGGTCCTTCGGGCTGAGCGTTCCACTCCAGCTTTGCTGCTGCTGACTTCTTGAGCTGCTCCCCAGTTGGATCCGACGTCCACCGTCTCGGCCACCTTTCGCTCGCAGCGGCGAGAAGAAGGACCGTTCTGCGAGATGCTTCGAGTCAGCAGGTGCCTTGCTGCTACCCGGCACGGCAATGTTGACGGTGGTTTCACAGACACCTGTGGTCTGCAAATGTTTGCAACCGGCTTGCCTAAAGGTGTTCGGCCTTGGCTCGACAGCCGGTCACCAGTGTTCTTCTGCTGCCAGGTTCCTGCCTCCAAGACAGTGGGTGGCGGGTGGATGTGCTGATATGCGAAGCGAGCATTCGGCATTCGCTCTTGCCCCCACAAGTAGTCACTAGTCATGACTTTATCTGCATCCCTCGAGCGAAACTTCCCGCCTGGCATAGCTGCCGCACCTGGTCCTGCGAAGACGATCAAAAATCCGCACCGTCGGGACATGCAGAACTGCGCTGAGCTGACAGATCATAATTGACCCGTCACCCGGCTGTCCGGTGTCAAGTCGAGAAAGTGCCGAATCTTCTCCTGCCTGCATGGAGCACGCCGCTGCTCTGGCACTGTACTCTGACTTGAGGCATCTGAGCCCGGTGCAAATTGTCGTCGGAGTCTGTTATGTCGATCGGGTTGGAGATCTGTCTCTGCCAATCAACCTGCCGAACCAGATCCCGTTAAAGGCATGGCAAACTGAATGATGACTTAATTTCACGTGTGTGACTTGCGAACTGTCCGACGAAGTACTGCCGCATTCTCTTGGCAAATTGCAGCTCGCATGAACGTCATCTGCACGCATACTCGGAGTTTCGTGCAAAGGCACTTGCTCTTGTGATGCGCAGAAGACGCGACATGACGGAACAACTTGCTAAAGGACCAATCGTCGAAGATCGCACTTCATGACAGAAAAGAACTGCACCACAAATTGCCTGCAAGCAAGAAATCCTTGCCACTGTCGAGCTGAGCAGACCCCACCTGAAGGACACTCTCCAGGACCATGTCCTGAAGCAAGGAAAGCCACGAGAACGAACGCCAAATCTGTCGAACCTAACCTCGACCATCGATGACTCACTATCGGCTTCTTAAAACTACAGTAATCAGCCCGTACTTCAAGACGACGTGGGCGAAACAGCCACGCACTTGATGCCATGATGAGTTCGACTTCTGGTCTTGACAGGACTTCCAAGCCAGTGCTGGACACAGAGACACCCGGCGAGACTCGCGCAGAGGGCGACATGCTGCCAAGCAAACAAAAGCAAACCAAAACTGACCTCCCGGAAGTTTGCAAGATTGTCGGGCCTCGCAGCACTGCAAAGCCTTCATGAAGGAGCTGTGGGAGCCTCAGCTCGGCCATGGCAAAGCTGCAGAGATGCTGGAGCCATTACGAGACGTCGGATTGCGGATGGGGCGCCATGTTCTGAGTCGAAAATACGATCAGCCGGCACCTTGGAGTCAGTGATGAGGGGCACTCTCTGCGGAAAGGCTTCGATGATTGGCGCAACATGGAAAAACAGTTCACTCTGAGCTCACTACTCCGAAGGACTTTAGACCGCAGCTCATGTCAGCCTCCAGGCTGCCTCAGCAGAGCTACAGCTTGCAAGACCCTTCCACAGTGTATTGTGGAGACTGAGACACACAACGACTCCCAGAAAACAAAGGAGAGCAACAGCAGCAGCGACAACAACAACAATCACCACCGCCACAACTGCCAAGTACCAACTACCAACTACCACCACCTCCTCCTCCACCACCACCACCACCACCAGCACCAGCACCCCGACGACTGCTGCTGCTGTTGCTGCTGCAACAACAACAACAACTACAAATACTTTAACTGGAACTGATACTGCCACTGATACGCTCACTGCCACTGCCACCGCCGCTACGATGCCGGAACAGATGCTCCTAGCGCAACTGCTGCTTCTACAGCTACACTGCCACACTGTTGCTGCCACCATTAGCACGGCGAGAACTGCTGAGACTCAAGCTGTAGTACGCGCAGATGCCTTCGTTCTGCAGGACCTTAAATGTGTGCCCATGCTGCCTGCATGGCAAAGATCCTGAATGCAAATATCAGGCTATGCCTTGTCCAGCTTTGCAAGGAGTGCGTATGCGGAGACGTTGCCTCGAAGGCATGACTTGTTCAGAGGCACTTGTCATGCGACAGGCCTGACCTGCAAAACGACATTGAGCCCCATGCATCCTTGACAAGCCTGTAGATCAAAGACCATGAAGCGAAGAACCCTGAGAGCAGCAGACTGCCGTAAAGCCACAGAACAGCATCGTCTGGGGTCCCGGCTTGTTGCATTCAACATACTGTCGCACCTAAAAACTTCAAGCGTGCTCCACGAATCAAGCTAGAGCCGCGGGACTAGTCCAGCGTCCCGTAATGCCAGCAAGGGGCGTAGTTTGAGAGCTTGATCATTGGCCCCTCCGCCTGGAGTTTGCATCTCCCTTCAACCATCCTTCAGAGAGAGACCTAAGCCCCCTCTCCGGCTCAGGGCCTGGCCAGGAAACCCTCCAAGCCCAAGCACTCGATCAACTCGCCGTATTCCTTTAAGATTCTTCTCCTTAAAACGAACCCTTCTTAGAGCAAAAATGTGGCAGCACGGACTGAACGCTGAGGACGCAGCTCTCGGTCGCTCCGATGCAGGTTGGTTTTCACTGACACCCGCGAAACGTGGTACCTGCACCACAGGCCGTCACAAGCTGCAGCATCGAGTTGATAGCTTGGCAGCACCTCACGGAAGCAGCAACTAAGGTTGACGCTTGAGCACGTGCAACTTCATGAGTTGCACCTTCCACAGGAGAAAGGCAGGTGGCCTAGGAACGAGGAAAGGCCAAATGCCTGCGCTGTCACCAACGCCACGGCCACCCCGACCTGAGGATGGTCACAGACGGCTGTGTCACTAAGAGGAGATGGAAACGATTCTGAGATACTCTGGGGACCTCGCGAGCACGCTTGGGAGCAAACCATACATGGCGGAAGAAGCCACCTCTCTCATGAATATGGATACTTACCCCAGCACGGTCGAACTGGCTGCGAGAGTACAGCTCACAAGCCTGCGCATAGATTACCAACAGTCCCAGAACACCAACCTGAGCGAGCACAAACCAGGTATGCCAACAGCACTGGCAAATGAAGCCCCTGAAAGGATGACGGTGCTGGCTGATGCATCTTAGCAAATCCATGCACTGATCCACCGCGCCTTATGCCTGGCGGTCCACATCCACTCCTCGCACTAGCTTGACATCATCATGCTGCGCGTCTTGTGCCGGATAGATAAAGGATCACTCTTAGGAGCAACACTGACAAGTTCTGGAGAAACTTTCCAACATCCCAGCTTCACGGCTCTCGGCAGCTGTGCAAAAAAGAACTTTTTTGCGACATTGCTACTATATAACCCCGCCACCACCGGATGCATGGTTTTCACAATTTAGTGAAATGTGTACATAGTTAAGGTTGTAGGGCTTAGGGTAGAAGCTGCTGCCGCCCACACGCGGCCAGTAGTTGTCCAACCTGGCAGGCAGCGGTTGAGGGTGTAGGGGTTTTAGGGTTTGCGGCTTCGGATTTGTCTCCACTTGGCTCGGACCCTCCATTTTCATGGCTCCCAAACTCTCAAGCAATCAGCTCTTGATGCACGCGTAGGATTTAAGGTTTGGAATATGTATAAGAGGCTGATGAAAACCTACGAGGCATCAATCACTGTGGAGGACAGAAAGCTTCGTAAGCAGCCCTTCCAGCGTTAGCTGCTGGGGGTTCAAAGTGGTTGCTGGCTGCACAATGGCTTCAAAGCTAAGACGTGGGAACTCGGGATGGTCAGGCATTGCCCCCTTGTATACGTGTAAAAAGTGGCCTCGCTTAGACTTGCCACTGCTGCGCTCAGCGAAGGCAGATAACAAAGCTGAGTGCCTGGGCCATGCCGCTTCAAACTCGGAAGTCAACCAGATATGAAGGTGCAAGAAAGCTGCAGCCTGAAACGAGATTGAAGATCCTTTGAGGCCATTGGACATGAACCACGGTCGATCGGCAATCCGGATACCTCGCATGCGAGCCACAAGTCCCTCAGGCGTTGCCAATCCAGGTCCCAACTCGCGGAACACCACGACATTCGCTTCCCACCAATCTGTGGTCTGACGAAACCTTGCCGCTGGTTTCTCATCGGGCCTGGAGAGTCCTGAAACTGTCTTGCTTTTTTAAGATCTTTTAGTGTATGGGTTACAATGAGAATTCGAATTCAATCCGTATTGAATCATGCAGCGGTTCGATCCTCAAACCCCTTTCTATTAAACCGGAAAATAATAAAGAATAATCATTCAGGGCACCATTCGCCATCAGCACCTTGACCTTGTTGCCCAGAGGTGGTGCCCGCTCGGTACTCTTCTTGCACGACTCCAGCTGCTTGTCGATGGATTGCAAAAAAACCCCGCCGCGCACGTCGACATGAGGCACCTTCTCGCCCAAGGGGGTTGCCATCGCCACCTTCCGCTTCTTCGCTGCAACCATGTCCTGCTCGGCCTCTATCTCTTCCAGCGATTTCTTGTGGGAAGATGCAGGGTCGGTTGCATTCTTCTTGTCTTTCTTCTCCTTTTTGTGTTTCTTGTCCTTTTTGTGTTTCTTGTCTTTCTTGTCTTTCTTGTCTTTCTTGCCCTTCTTCTCCTTTTTGTCCTTCGTCTTCTCCCGCTTGTTCTCCTCCTCGCATTTGTCCACTGGTGCACTGCCACTGCTGCAGGGCGGATTCGGAGGGCAAGCAGAAGATGCCGCTGAAGAAACACCACTTCTGACAGCAGTAACCTCGCTCACAGCAATGACAATCTCATCCAACCGTCGATTGCTTGAAGATGCCCTGGGCCCATCTTGCAAAGTTTCCTTCTGCATGCCAGCAACCGTTGACGAGATGCACCTGGAGTGTGCCTGCAGTTTGGCCCGTACGGATTGTGGGTTTGCCTCACGAAGTCCAGCCAGGCGTGGCTTGTCCGATCCCGAAGCTCCACTTTTTCGCTGCTCAGTTTCGCGTGCACCGAAAAACTCTTTATATACAGCCTGTGCCTGCAAAGCAAACTTGGAAGGCTTCCAGTTGCCACTAGCATCCCTGCCGTCCCGAAGACTGTCAGCAGAAGCGCACCCATGCACACTCAACTTCACCGCGTCTTGAAGAGCGTAGATGTGCAATCTGTGAGCTCTGTTTTTCAACTCTGTGACAGAAACTTCGTGCAGATTCCGTTCGACTGATGCCGTGGACGTTCCAATCGTCAAAGTGTGTTGCACCAGCCAGCATGCCTCCAAGCGCACCGCGGCCTGCTCCTTCCGAAGCTCTCGAAGTGTGGCCAACCAGGCATTGTTGGAGCCCTGACGCTGTTCCTTCAGATGCCAGAACGCTCTGGCGAGCAGGCCGCCAGGACCAAGCCCGTCATCGCTACCTCCGCCGCTCAGCTGCTTCCTGGAAATGTGGGCTGGAAGACAATATCAAAAGAACAAACAACTTCATACAAGACTTAAAGCTACCACCAAACAAAGTGCCTTCTAATGCATGGGCTCACCAGGTTTTCGCACCGTCCATGTGGTTCTGTTGGGCAATAGACTGCACCAGTTCTCCCCGCTGGGACAGCGTCAGATCATTTTCTAAGTCCATAGCAGCAAAAGCATTGCTATATTCATGGCGAGGAAAATTTGAATCAAAAAAGGCCTTGTAGATTCTGTACACCTTCTGAGCCACTTGTCGAGATTCCGTGAGGTCGCCTTCGGAGACATCCCAAACAGCTACCGCCCTGAGTGGGCGAGGGCCCCGGCTACCCGTGGTACGATTCCCAAGAAAAGTTATGATACCGATATCTTGGAGGGTGCGGATCACGGTCTGTGTAACAGTAGCTGCTGCACTCGGCAAGAATACGCCGCCTTTGTCAAACATGTGTTCCATCGTGTGGATCGTCTCCGCTGCCTGCTGGGATTTGTGCTGTGTTCAATTCGCTGTTGGCACTTAATAAAGGTGTGCATTCATAGGCTTGGACTGGGCTAGCAGAAGTGTCAATTTAGCCGGGGCCTGCCTGCTGTGCCGTGACACAGGCCTCGTCATTGTCAGTGTCCGCGAGCCGCAAGAAGCGCTGGCCAATCAACATCGAATCGGCTGCCAGAGCGGCATTTACCAAGTGCTGAAATGCACTTCGGCCAGACAGCTCTGTCAACAAAGTCTCTGCAAAACGCCGGTCGTCACGATCGCCTTCTGCAGCCAGCTGCACCAGGAAAGCATATACGGATTTCAAGCTGCTGAGAAGCTTGAACAATGGCATGCTCAAGCTGTTGAACCTCTGCTTTGCATAGCTGAAATTCCGGAGTGCCTGACTGAACTCCTTTTGTTGCGATTCCGCCCATAAGATTCGGTACTTACCTGAATCCTCCAACATGCGAGCCAGACTGGCCTCGCCTGTGATTAGAAGCTGCAGAAGCCCACCTGACAGCTCATCCAAAAAAGGCCAGGCTCCCCTTTGCAAGTTTCGCATGCGATGTGCCCTGTCGACGACAACGTGTTGAAGACGAGGCAACAAGTCAGACATTTTGGATAGGGCCGTTTGCTCTGCCGGGCCCCCATCTGCGACCGCACAAGTTATGATGTTCTGCAGGGGACAAATCACAGACATTCTATTCTGCTATGATATCATTAAATTAAATGAAGCTCTTTTCCAACCCTTGTCCTTCAGATGATGGTGCAATTCCTTGTCCACAACATCTTGGGCTCCAGATTGGCCGTCCTTCTCACGCATGCCACGCTTCACTGTCGCGGCCGCCTTCAGCACGGCATTCACAGCTGCTTTGACATTATCCTCGGAGAATCTCACAAGACTGTCTAAAACCAGGAGAGGTCGAGGAGAGGTCGAGGAGAGGTAATCAGAGGCATAATCCGAGCCAGGGCACAGGGCTGGGGCCGAAATCACGAGCTATGCCGAGCAAACACTGGTAGACGCCCATGCGAGGGAGACTGGTGCCTTTCAAGCCTGCCAAAGCAAAGCAAACATCCGCAGGCAGTGTCTGCACATGTCCTGTCACGTCACTTGCTGGCCTCTATAGAAGAAGCGGGCTCGTACGAGAACGATCCCATCGCGTTCATCGAGGCAGAGGCAGGCCATGTTGGACTGGCAGGTTTGAATCGGATTCCGGGTGAGGTTTATGGTTTAGTATGTGTTAGGGTTATTGGTGGGGTGTACGGTTTGATTGACTTGGAACTTTTACCCCACTGTTGCCTGTGCGATAACCGCACGGTCGAGCTCTGCCACGACGGTGCTCATTGCAGTGACTAGTTGTCTGCACACACGTGTGCTGTTGTCACTCTGCACGTCCTGCGACTTGCAGAACTGGCGGAAGTCCTGTCTCAGGAATTGTTTTATTCATGCCCTGCAATGCTACGGCTCCCGGATTGACCGATCCTCGTAGCTGTCGTGCCTGCCAACTATGGTGGCAGCCATGAAGAAACGGCTCAATGATGGTGTGCAGGAATCCCAGGACGATGCATCCTCATTTTTTGTTGCCTCCACCTGTAACAAGGCCCTCTGGTGATGCAGGCCCCCTGCGTGGTCGGTCAAAGCTGAACTCTGCAGCATGTCCTTGCTGGTCACGGTCAAGTTGGCGAAAGCACTTTTGGACCTTGGGTTGTGTTGGACATGCCTGTCGAGATAACAATACTTCAGGAACCATTTTGGTGCTGCTTGCAGCACGAGCGGCTTGCCATCGAAAGAGTTACACAGCCAGCACCCAAACGCCCAAGGGCCAGAGAACGAAGGCGGACGCTGTGTCAGCCACGTTCTCATCTCTCCTAGCACAACTGCTCTGTAAGCAACTAGTCAGTTTTTTATTTAAGCAAGTCCGGTCCTGTAGCTGCATGCTTGAACTGGAACTTCTCGCTCCAGGCATGCTGCTTCAACAGCGGGCAGACTTTCTTGCTGCCCCGCCGCAAGCCACCCAAGAAACCAGCTGCGAAATAGCAGCGGGTGCCTGGATGAACAACTGAACTGAGACTCTCTGCGATTGAATTGAAAAGCCCCTAGCCAGGCACAGGGCTGTGCAAGCAAGGAGCATGATAGACCTTTCCCACAGGTCCTTGCATGCTCTTCATCGCTCTCCTGCTGGTCGCCACGCAGCTCGCAGTGTTGCCGTGTTGGTTGCAGGGAGGCTTGTCTTGCATCCCGTAATCGTTGCAGCAGACGCTCTTGCTCGGCTTCCATGGCATGCTTCAGCACTCGCAGAAGATCTTCTATGATGCTTTTTATTATAGGGACCTGCCGACTTCGTGCACAGATTCTAGATCTGATCTGAACTAAACACCTATCACGCTAAGAAGGCCTCCACACCACCCCCTATCCAACGCCCTGTAACCCTGCAACTGTCCTGGCACCAAACCTAAAGAGCCCCAAGGAGCTGAGGAGGATCTGAAAAGGGGAAGGCTTCTTCTGCGAAATTCACGGTTTCGACTTCAACGGGGCAATTTCATCTGGGATTGTTCCGGGCATTTAGTGATGCGAGACTATGGGTCGTTGGGCTGTAGGTGAGTATATACCCTGCAGGGTACAAGAGGACCCGGGGAGCCTATTTAGTGTTCAGGAGCTGAGATTTGGTAAAGGGTATTTGGTTTCGGCCGGTTCTTGATTTGTTTGCGGGGCTTAGGGCTTAGGGCTTCGAGGTCAGAGTTTCACAGGCCCCAATCACAGGTCCACCCAACTTGGCCGGCGTGGCCAAAGACACGGCAGAGTGTTTCGCACCTGGCACAACTTGTCTGAAGAGCAACTGTAGCGGTCACTACACCCATATATAGACTACAATATTCTTGTGGCTAATTATCGCACTGCTGCGAAAGTGGATTATCGCATTGCTGCGGAACAACCCAGCCCCAAGTATCGCATTGCTGCGGAACCCCTTAACCCAACTATCGCATTGCTGCGGAACCCCTTAACCCAACTATCGCATTGCTGCGGAACCCCTTAAGCCCAACTATCGCATTGCTGCGGAATCATTCCCCAAGCCCAACCTTCACTTCGGAGTTATCCGTGCCATTGACAGACCATGGCATTGCTGCAAGATAACTGTTTACGACATCTCTCATCTCTCGATCCTGACTGCCCCACTTGCTTAAGTAGGAAAGCCTCGCGGGTGAAGAAGTGCACACACTAAGCCTCCTTGGGCCCAGGCGTCCCACGAGATTCCATGGATAGAGGCGGCCGAGCCTGAGCGAAAACATCAACAAGCACTCTGCAATGGCAATGGTTTGGGCTGCAAGAAAACATCAAGCATGGGAGCACGGCTTCTGATTTCGCAGCCCCTCTGCGAGTGCATACACTGTGCCGCTCGGCTGGTAGAGCCAGCGGCAAATCACGCCCGCACGAGATTCTCCAATGCCAATTGGCATCGCACCAGCAATGCTGGAACTGTCTCTCGCTGCCGGCATGTTGCACGGACACACTTGGAGACAAAAGTTATCTGAGATTGCTGTGAATGCTCATGGTCTGGGCGCAGGCATTGCTTCGATCTCAAAGCAATCTTTTCATCCAACAGCTTCTGTACACGTCCAGCGGCCGATGCTGCGAGCACATGTTCTTTGTAGTTCTCCTTCAACAAGGAATGCCCCCCGCTGAAGGCAAAGAAAGCCAGGCAGCCCATCGCGAATACATCTGTGGATGCCGTCACCCAAACCTGCACAAGGCTGCTGTCAGGCATATTTCAGTGTCAAGACTTGCTATAGTACGGTGGCCGCGCCTTGCTGGAGCCAGCAATCATTGCTGCAGGAGGCCTGTAGTTCTGTGTGCAAACTTCTCGTCCAGGAAGCATGACTCCAAGCTGGTCGCCCGGCAGCTTTACGGCCAGGCCAAAGTCCGAAATCTTCAAGATCGCACTTCCATCACTCGCCCTGCAGACCAGTACGTTGTGTGGCTTCAAGTCCACGTGCAAGATGCGGTTGGAGTGGATGTAGCTCAGACCCTGTAGTATCTGATGAACATATCCCCATGACTTGATGACAGGCGGCAAGGACTCGCGGCAATGGTGAACGAAACAGCCTTCTGCAAGCTCCATCAGGAGCCCAACCCCTGTCGTGGAATTGTTGGGCCGGGAGACCAGACCAAAGGTACGGATCACATGAGGGTGTGCACTTCGGCGAAGATATTCGTCCTCTGTGATGATGCTCTCCCCCGTGGCTTCAGGACACGATGCCTCTGGCTGTTGGAATTTGCAGGCGTAAGACACTCCCGTGTATCCTGAGAGTCAAACTTGTAGCATCAGATTCCATGCTTGAGTTCACTACCAGACACATCTCAAGACAGACATGGCTCGGTCCGTCACCCGGCGCACCAAGCCATACCCCCCTTCGCCCAATGCCTCCATGACCTCCAAGCGGTTGCTGATGTGAGCCATTTGCACGGGCTCGGGTCGGGCTTCTCCCACAAAGCGATTTGCATCATCGTGGACCTGGACGGCCCCACGACCAATGCAAGAGAAAATCTGAACTGACGTTGACACTCAAAGACTGACCTCTGGCTCGTTGTCCGTGTCGTTCTCCCGACCGAGTGCCTCTGCTCGAAGTTCCTGCACAGGAGGCTGCCTGAGGCTGGTGAAAGAACAAAGCGGCATGGCCTTGTTGAAGGCTTTCTGCTTCGCGGCGTCTTGATAGAAAGGTTCTTTTTCTGCTTCTGTCATGGACTGCCTGAGCGAACATCTTTTGTCTGCACCTACTAGACTAGTCTTCCTTGAAGCTGTGCTGTAGTCTGGGGCCCGGACCACTTGGCACTGCAGCTGCCACGCTCGAACGAAATGGTCTTGCCACGGATCCGCGTCTTCATTTTTGGATGCACACCATGCCGCTTGGCATGGCTGCAAAAGGACGAGTAAGCATTCCTCGGGCGGCTGACACCCAATTTCGCATTCCGAACATATTTCCCCATGGCGCCAGGAAACAAAGCAGAGGTCCGGCAGAGGTCAAGGAGAGGTAATCAGAGGTCACTCTGCAGCAAGCAAAAACAGCCCAGAACAACCAAGGGCAGACATGATAAGCAAAGCGGGCATGGATTTAGCGCTTTTCAGCTCGGCAGTTGCGAAATGGAGAATCGACACGACAGTCTGTGCGTGCCGTGGTTGCAGGGCAACCGTGCCGGTTCCAAAATCCAGCAGCTTCTGCAGAAACACTGGCGACCCCAGAAGCAGTTTGGAATCTTGTTCATGAGAGCTTTGACTCAAAATCGCACTGGAGTCTGTCAGTGTCGGACTCCATCGAAAATCAGGAGGAGCTGCTGCTGCTGCTGCTGGTGCTGCTACTCTTCCTAGTCTTTTTAGGGGCAGAGCCTTTAGGAGAATCCACCTCCTTCTTCACAGCTCCGTCAGCGTCTGTCCTGGCCATGTTCAAAAGTTACACTTGAATCTGCAGACATACTCACAAGATAAGTAAGGTCCTTGGCGGAAGAGTCTCAGCATTGGACTCCGTAGTGCTAGAGCCAGTCAAACTGTTCTCACGGCACAGAATCCGCTTGCGAATATTCCATGCGTGTGGATCCACATTCAACACCATTTCGGAGACGATGCGGAACATCACGTATTGGCGGAGAAACTTCAAGTGGACCTCCGAAGTGGCGAAGCCGACATAGTGAAAGCGACCCCTCACGGCCGCGAGAGCCGCAAGGCCACACCCTGCTGTGAAATCAATGATCCAGGTCTGAGACGGGCTTACCAGGTGGAATGCCGTGTAAATGCTTGTCCAGGCATCCTCGGAAGACGCCCACGGCCACAAGAGAACACCTCTTGCGGGCTCACACTCTGAAGCCTGGCTGCCTGCACCGTCCACAGCACCATCATCACTGTCTGAAACAGCATGAACTTCTTCGGCATCATCCGTGCCAGCCTCGGCTGCCTCCGCAGCCGCTTTCTGCTTCTCTGTCTTCGGCAAGCATGGTCGTCAACTCCATATCGCTCGGGTCTCTCAATCCCAGGCCTGTCCAAGCTCTGGAATAGGAGTCACTATGGACAAGCGGCAGCGCCCGCTGCGGAAGCGTGTACGCCTTGGGTTGAATGACAACCATGGTTTCCATCGGGTCTGGGCATGTTTGGGTCAAACACGTTCGCCTGGCCATCGCCAATCGCCCCGATCCCTCAAATTCCCGACAGTGGTAGAGCATGCGGACTGTGATCAAGCCGTTGGCCAGCTTGGGGAACATGCTCGCATGTGGCTTCATGCATCGGGTAAGCTCGGCTGTGATCTGCTTCTGGTTCGAAGGGGATCTGCCATCCATGCAGACAAACATGTCGCAGGCACGAAAGATCACCGGGTGAGCTCTGGAGCTGTCCTTCGCCAATGCGGGGTCCCCAAACCTCAGACTACTGACTGCACACCCTCATAAGGCATTCAACTGCTCAGTCGTTTATATAGGGTCAAGGCACAAAGCCTCGCCGACAATCTTGATGTTCTTCTTCTCCAGGGCTGGGGGACGACGATACGGTGCATAGCTCGCCACCCGGCCAGTGTCTTTCGTCTCATTCTTGGTGTCATAGATGTAGACCCTGTTCTGTGCATCCGGAATGGATTGCAAAGCAGCTCTCAAGTTGGTCGCGTCAGTGGGCCAGACACGCAAGTCCAGGAATGTGTTGGCACCTGTGCAACACCCTGCTTCCTATGGGCAAAGCTGTGAGTCAGAGCATGTAATGTGATCCCACATAGGAGTCAAGCTGCGCAATCGTGCCGTTTCCAGCACTTGCTCAAACTGACTGTCGTCCGGAACCTTGTTCAGAATGTCCTTGGCTACAGACGACAAGGGCAAAGAGTCAAAGTAGATGCTTCGATCGAGGCGTTGGGGATGCTCAGCTGCCTCAATCAAGTCCTGGCACTGGTGCATGCATTCGTTCGGACACACACACACACACATTTATGTGAGTGCTTACACAGCCACTCCTCAGCAGAAACCTCAGGATCTTCAGGCAGCTCCGGCGGCGAAAGTGCCGTTGTCGATTCTGGCTTTGGCGGGGAAGGTGGAGCAACGGGTGGCGGTGCCGACGCTGCCTTCTCGTCTTGTGCAGTTTGGCTGGCCGCCTGCGTGACAGCCACGATGTCGAAGTGATCCTTCATAGACTGAGCCCTCAAGACCAGTTCGGCTGAAACCAAGGAATCCTTTTGGAGAAAGGTCTCGAGGCTCTCGTCAAGGGGGCCTCCTCCACGCATGAGCTTGGTCAGGAAATCGAATGTGTCCTGCAGGTAGGAAGGCATAGACGCCCTCCACGTCATCACGAGGGTGCTGCCATGATCGAGCCCGCTGTTCCGGAATTTCGCAAAGGTGCCGAAAATGCTGTCGATTGTGGGGATAGCGACACCGTCTGTTGGCTTCGCCGGCATGGTGACTCTCTTGCTGACATAATTGATGAGACGTTTCTTCAAGAGGCTCCTGGACACGGCCAGGTTAAAGGCCGCCTTGGCCGCATCAAAGCTCACGGTACCACGCTGAACATCATTCTCGAAGTGTTCCAAACACCACAGGAGCAGCTGTCTCGACACGGCCTCGTTGCCACTCACATGTGTGCGTGTCACGAGGATGTCCAGGTTCTGCTGCGATGCTAGCGTGTGCCTGCTGCCAAACCGATCATCAAACTCAGCAATGATCTCTTGTGCACGAGCATCTGCAGCTGTAAGCCGCTTGTGAATTTTCAAACACTTCGAGATATTCTTGGCACTCATCTCCCGAATCTTGCCCTCTCCGAACCTAAGTGAGCTGTTCTTGCCTGGACACTGTATGAATGCAAGTTTCACAAGCCGCGAGCTGCAACTAGGGCACCATTTCTCCAATGCATCCGCATTGGAGGGACGGCCCATGCCTTTCAAGGTGGACTCCACAACGGCCATGCCAAGAATCTTTCTCCACCCCTGCAAGGTGAGGCTCTCTCGGGCATCACCTGTTGCACAAGGCTCCACAATCATAAATTTCCCTTGGTCCTAGAACACTGTGACGACTGCAGCGCCTACTTCTTCGGCCAATTCCCACTTCTTCCGCTCAACCATTGCCGCATCCGCCAGAAGAACGAACTTGACCTTTAGCACGGATAAGGAACAGAGGTGCGATTCAGCCGAGGCGAGACAGACGACAGACGAGTCACCCGGACAGCTCGTGCCAAGGATTCTTTCTGCTTCGCCACCTTTGAATCTGCAGGCGCTGCCGCCCAACTGATCAAGAAAGCTGCCCCTTGGCATCGCAGGGAATGATTGCTTGAAGCTTTACGGTTTAGCAAGGAACCTATTCCAAGGACCGACATATTCAAAGGCCCAGGCGGTAGGCATCCCCGTTCAGAACCTCCATAATCGTGGGTGGCTGGGACTCATCCATTGCCCGGACCACCAGCACCTCGCCCCACGTCGGTGGGGCTTTGATGCTTCCGTCCGGCTCGGTGAAATGTCTGTGCTGCATGATCTTCACGGATCCTGCAGAAAAGGACAGCATACTAAGAAGCAAGGATGGGCAAAACAATGTGCAGTCCAGAGCCTTGGTTCGGAGGAATAGAAGGATGCGCCCAAGCCAGAAGAGAGAACTTGTCGAAGGTAATGTTGCATGTGTATTCCCGGTCTCTCTTCAAGGTTTGCTTGTAGGCCGTGGCATCGATCGCGAGCACACCACCCATGTCGCATGGGTCACCCAAGCCTGCCTGACAAGTGCATCATGGAAACATAAATGAGCATGGGTCAAGCCACGACTGCAGGCTGCCAGGCCTCCAGCTTCACGGTCTTGGCTGCTTCCAGCATCATGTCATTGACAGGGTGGGGCAGAGTCACTGCAGCTTTGCCTGCATTCTGTCCGGGCGCCTGCTTACCAGAACAACGACGGGTAGATGCCATCACTATTGCAAGCGAAGCTCGCTCGCAGAGGAGATCCTGATTCAGTTCGATGGAGAAATGCCCCGGCACATAATTCTAGTCTGAGATTATCTTGTGGGAAACGGAAAGCTCCCCAGACTTGCCCGTCAACGGGCAAGTCTGGGGGAGCTGGTTTTCAGCCCCGGAGTGGACTTTGTCAAGACCCTGCGCCCCAGACTTGGCATGACAAACCTCGTTGCGCACAAGAAAACAACCTTCCCCAGACTAGCCCGTCGACGGGCAAGTCTGGGGACGGCTCGGTTTTCCACGAAGGATTTCTAGACTAAATTCTTCCCCGGTCGAGGAACGAAGCTGGGAGGCATCATGCGCACATAAAGTCAGCAACAATGCACGGCACAGAATTGTCACCGTCAGAATTTTCATCCGTGCCGGCCAAGGCTAGGTGACTGAGATCTTGCCTTCGACAGAACTAGCTGGCCGCGGCTTGCGGCTGCAGAAGCACAGCGGCTGCACACAGGAACAAACCCACTGCAGCTGGAACTACGCTCGACTTTGCAACTCCAGCACCCTGCTGCCCCAGCATCTGTACATGGACTGTGCCAGACGGATAGCCATGTGCATTCAACAGCTCGTGATGCGACACAATATTTGCATTAGGCCTGCCCTTCGGGGGTTCTGGCTGGTAGGTGAGGACAACAGTCTTCGCCTTGATGGGGGGCAATTCTTCCACATACACGCGGTGGTGGCTGAAGCGCAAACTACTGGCATCGGCCGCTAAGACATGATTCTCCCACTTTTGCTTCTTGGACTGATTCTTCAAGATTGCCAAATGAACCTTCATAAGGTCGCTTGCTTCAGACTCGACATGCTGAAGAAGCTTCTGCACCTTCCCACCAACACTCTCATCCAAATCGCTTGGCAGCCACCTGCTCTCACATGCCTTGGCCACCAATTCAGAGAAGGTCCGCTTGTTCTTCGCTCCAGGGCCAACTGTCTCGCCTGGTTCAGACAGGACGTCGAAACACTGAGCAAACCCGAAGCCGACACCCTATTATAGCTCTCTGCTGGTCTATAAACAAAAGGACAGTAGTCTAGCCTTGTTCGTCCGCTGGCTCAGTGCTTGGTTGAGCAGAACCGGCGGTGCATGTTGCCCGCAACATCCATTCCTTGCTAGGTCCATGCTGTCCAAAATCCATGCACTGCACCTTCAAGGACATGAGCTGCACAAGACCTTCCCGCCCCTGCTTGGAAACGTGGCGGCTAAAGGCAAGGATATGGCTTTCCGCACCCAAAGGCACACCGAGGTTGTGGTAACAATACTGCTGCACGAAGGCCAATTGGTATCCCGGCATGTTCCCCTTTACGTACTCCTCCAAGTCTTTAGGTACCTCTCGCATGTCCACTGCTATGACATCAGCCCCGCAAGCTGCCAGCAAGTTCAGCTGGGACAGGTTCGTGATCTGTCCCACCACGGCAGAATTCTTGCTTGGCAAGGACGGTGATGGACTTTTTGGGTTGAACACGACCTTCCCCTTTGGGCCTGTGTACATCACCCGACACATGGGGTGGACCCCGTTCGAAGCACAGGTCTGCGCCAGCATATGATGATTAGGTCCCTGAAAGAGGATTCCTTGGGCCTGCATTTCTTTTTGATAATGAAGCACGGCATTAAAAACCGGATCCACTGCAATGAAGAACATGGTGATGTCGACACACGCCTGAGCATGACGCATCAAGCCTGTGAAAGTGGACCAATATGCTTCAAGAGGGGCGGTGGAGGACATTGCTTCACGAAGCAACTAATCAAAACCGACAGCTTGGCAACCAAAGTCATCTGCGAGCAAATGTGGGTTGGGCCCCAAGGACAACACTCGTGCTGCGTGCGAAGACATGAGCAAAGTAAAGCCTCTGCAGGAGACAATTTTGAACCTCGGCTATGAAGCTCCGACTGCTGACCACAAAGCATCTAGGACCTAGGAGCTCGGCGGAACATGTTCGAGATAGCCCAGCTCTAGCAGCACAGGCGTCAATGCACACACCATCATGGTGCAGGTCACCCCGTTCCCAGCAAGGCGGCGGATATCTCCTTCCGAGAAGGTATGTCCCACCTCACATCCCTTGAGCTTCTTCATCTGATGGCCATGTATCTTAAAGAAGCTGACGGGCGAAACGAGAGTCTGCGAGTCATACTCGAACCACTTAGAGGTCGTTGAAACGTTGGCACAAGTACCTCGGGTGAAGAACGTGCCTCGGTTGGGGCTCTGAGAATAATCTGCCAGCTTGGGCCTGCCGTTGCCACTGGAGCCTTCGCTGGAAATTTGGTGCTCCAACATAAGGCTGAGCACATCGACCTGTGCACATTCCCATGCGGTCAAAGCATGGGAGAACTTGCTCGAAGGCCGCGTCTTCGGAAGCCGGACATCCTTGGGGAGCTTGGCACACTGAATTGCTTTGGCAAGCTGTTTCGAGAAGGCCTTGTGATACTGTGATTCAAAATTGGCCTTCTCTGTCACAGACAGTTCCTCAGGAATGGAGGTCACATTCAGCGGCTGAAGCATGCTTGACACACAATGCTTGGGCATGGCCTGGACTCGCTCATGAAGTCGCTTCTGCATGTCCTCCAACCTCTCAGCCATATTCGCCTCTGCGATGTAGAAGAGAATCCTCTGTCTCGCACAGGGCAATGGAGAGGCATCGCCCACCACCCACTTGGTGGCAGCAAGTGGGCCACTCGAAGCACTCAGGCGCTCCATGACCTTGTTGAGCTCAGGATCCTGATTGCCGCGGCCACTGACGCACCTGGGCTGGAGAAGCACTGTGGCTAATCGGCTAATTAAGTTCTCAGAAACTGTCCGGAAATTGAGACACAGGCTTCAGTCCGGTCGTCAAGAGGGCGATTCTGGGCTTGCGCTCCGCGACGTGAATGACCGCCGACTGGAGGCTGCGGTCATTGTGCGTCCCAACGAACAGCGTCTCTCCCTCCGGCACCGTGCACTTGCAGCCATGCTTCCAACACCACAAGCTGCGGTCATTCTGGACACCCTCCTGCGAAATCTTCTTATCTTAGAATCTTACAGAAGTTTAACCCGGGACTGTGCCATGCGGTTTGTGCAACAAAGTCCTGGAAGACATGAAGCGGAGCGAAGTTTGTCATCAAGAACTGGGCTGCAACTGCATCCTGTTCGAGGGCATAGAGCTCCCGAACCCAAGCCTTGCCCAACATCATCCACAAGCAATGGATCGTTGTCCACACGCCACTGCCGGATGTAGCAACCTCGAGAACGGACCATGATGTCTCATCCGTCTTTCGGATATTAAGGGCCCGCCAGAGATCTGAGATGAAGGTCTTCAAGCAAAAATTCTCCTCCGTGATATTCGGGAGAACAGGCTCTGGACGAGCCCGAGTCTTCGCGGCAGCAGGCCGCTTCAAAGTGCGCCTGGAGTTCACACGATTGCCCTTGGGAGCCATCACCAGTGCTTCATCCAACACGATCGCCCTAGTACCACCAAGAAGGCTGGCAAGTAAAATCGTAGACGAATGCAGTAAATCAACAAATTGCCGAGACTGTCATGCCTGTGACATGCATAACATGCGAAACAAATGTTGGGAACTCAGTCTGTGCATCAGCCTAATCCAAGCTGCAGGCAACAAAACTGCGAAAACATCATGTCAGAGACAGATTGTCAGAAGGAACATGTGTGAATGCACCACACACGGCTGAGGCAATCAGATCTAACACCAGGCCAAGGCATTCGACCAAACCCGACCCTTTGAATGTTCCGGTTTACAGGTGGCAACCGTGGATTGTAAAGCCGAGCTGGCCCATCTGGCTGAGGAGCCGGCAGGCCGCATCGTTACACATCCTGCACGCAGTGTGCACGGACACTGAATGCACTGTTAACTATGCTCATCACAACATTCATGCTAAACTCCTAATTTGAAGGACGTTCTTTCCAGCCCAGCCAAACGAATACACAAACGAGTCTAGGGATTCGGGGCTCAAGCATGCGACCGCGACCGCAAGAATAGACGGAAGAGAAAGCAGGCCTGCCTCCAACAACCATGGAACACTCTCTACACATACCGCCAATTTGCACATTGGAAGCGGCTGCAATGCTAACTCAGGGCTAGGACTCCGAAAAGCTGACTTGGCGCCCATGCCACGAAGCGCAGAAGTGCCAGGGGCCAGCCGCCGTCTCAGGACCTTGCTTCCATTTATTTAGCAATAATGTCTCAGACACGGAGATGGACCCACATCCACCGGATCGCCCGCCCACACAAACACTAGTACTTCATGTGGAAACATCAACAAAGTGAATCCGACTTCTTTTGTCGCTCTGAGCTCAGTCGACTCTGTCTCTTGACCGAAACATGAAAAGTTGCACCGATGAAGCCGCAGGGCTGTCTTCCAAAATCTGCTGCACATGCCAGCCACATGCTGAGACAAATCGATGCACGCGGAGAAAACTATGACGACAGTCAGGCGGTCGAATCGCTCGACCCTGAGGCCGTTTCAGGATCGGGATAGCTCAGGCCGTCCAGCTCAGCCTTGATGTCACGGAGCTGGCTTTGCAAGGACTTGGCACGCTTACTGCGCCTTGCGGCGAGCTGGCTGCTACTTCTGCACGTGCAGACTTCGACTAAACAAGATGGCTTGCATTGTTCAACCCCTGGACTGTGGAACCCCCGCCCTAGCTGCACCTGCTGCTCTGCAATGACTGCAGAATCTCATTGAAGGCCCTCGAGCTGCCGTCTGCAGTCACCTCCAGGTTGCCACGGGAGAGCATGAAGGCCTTCGACTGGCCACACAACCAGGTGTAGGCTTTGCTCACATTCGCAACCAAATTGTCAGTCGGAGACTTTGTCGTCAGGAGCCAATAAGTGCACAGAGCATCGGAGCCGGATACCCAACGCACAGAGAACTCCTCTACTGTTGCTGGGGACGGAGGCTCTTGCTTTGGACTGGCTAATCAAGTGTTTGAAAACTAAAAGTCCTCGTTGTCTCGGAGCACATTTGCCGGAACAGTAAGCTCCACCAAATGGGTCACCAGCATGGCCTTCTTGTAAAGGTTGTGCACCAGGACTGCATCCGTCGCGGACGTGAAGAGGATCAAGCTGTGTGTCACCGGAATCTTTTTGTTGTCCAAAGTGTTCTTGTGCACATACTGCGCCATCCAGGTTGCAGGGTCCTGAAAAGATGGTGGCACTGAATGCCTTAAACTATGTTGAACCCACAAGAACCTAATTCATGCCAATGCCAAGCACCCCGTGCGGAACTTCGGACACGGTCGGAGTCTTGGCCACAGCGGTCACATCAGGCGGGGTCTCCATGACCACGATGAACCTCCAATGCGTAACCTCTCCCAGGGAGCCATTCAAGGCATAGCACACGGGGCTGACACCACACGCCAACTCATGAGTCCTGATGCACACATCCCAATTCGGGGACAGCAACCCGAAGTGACCACGAAGGTTGGCAGGGCCATTGCGATCATCCACTCCGAAATGCAGAGCTCCAAGCAAAATGCGGCCAGACTTGGACTCCGGAAAGGCAGTCAGAGCTGCGGTTGTTTTGATTGTGATGTGCAAGAGGACGAAGTGCTTCGGAAGCTCTTTGCTCACGTGGCCCGCCATGGTCACCGCTCGATCGTGAGCTTGGGAGATGTTGAGCTTGAGACGTCTGCCCTCGGAGAAAAGAGCCTCCTCAGATCTCAGGAATATTGCAAGAAGGTCAACTTCATAAAGGAATCGTAAATTCAAACCATCTTGATCCCTCAATTCAAAGGACTGGACACCCAGCCCAAATAAAGCCTCGGGTTCTCGGCCAATGACCAAAAAGAATACTCTTACACAATCTGTTCGAGTTGCGAACACTGCCTGCTGGGGACTAGCCGTCATGACGGGCCCTTGGATCTTGACATCTACAAGCTCCATAAACTCAAGATCCATCCAAAGGGCGTCCCACTGACTCTGTCGAATAGCCACAAACCACGAGGACATGATGGCTCAGGGCTGACAGCAACGGGCGACGCAAGCAGCACACTTGAGCGAAGACACGGCCGCCTCTTGCAAGAAGTGCGTGCCAGGGTGTCACATCTTAGGCAAGCAGCATCAGGAGCCCGCAACCGAGTATATGGCATGCTGGGATCAAAGAGAAGTGAAAACAAAATAAATTAATGTTGATGCCGAGTCTACTGGAAGCTTCACACAGAGAGCTAACGGTCAAGCACCCAAACAAGAGGGCAGGAGACAAGAGCCTCTAGGGCTGCTACTAGGTGCTAGGCTCCCCACTTAAGGTATTTTGGTACTCTCTTGATGGGGCAAAGGAAGAAGGGAAGTTTTGAACCTAACCTCCTAAGAAATCCCCATTCAACCTACGAGTATTCTTCTAGCCACGAATACCCTATAACTAAAAGCCAACGTACAGCCCAACCGACGACAAGGCCCAGGCCATCCACACTTGAAAGCTCCCAGGTCAAGTGCCGTGCACGGACCTGGTGCATTCACTAAGACACCAGTGACTCAGAACTAGTGACTAGATCAGCGGTCCAATAATGGGGCAAGCAGTACAATGGCAGCTTCCAGAACATGTTGAAGGCAGGACGATCAGAACTGCAACACACAGCTGAAACTGACACGGCTTGAAGGCTCAACCTCTCCATCCGTTCACTCTTGAAGCAGGGCCCCGACTCCGGAGCAACCGATGAAGCCAGACCTCGGCGTGTTCGTATTAACCCTTCTCATGCCTTGCCAACGCTGCGGGTACGAGGTTCTACAAAGTTTAAGGGATCATCTTCATCAGGCTACAAGAGGAAGGCACGCAAGTGAATGCAGCACATGATATTGGGAGTGGCTACAGTCTTGGCAAAGCCGGAACGCCGCCTGCAACACTGGTCACACTGACTGAGTGCGGGGCTTCCATGAGGATTGCAGGATTTGGTCCTGCAAATCGAGATTTTCAGTGGGTGCACTCAGCAAACGATTCGCTCCAGACAGTCTGCACTCAGCACGGCTAACCTACACCGAAGCCGCACAATGACCGTCACACCGAAGCCGCACAATGACCGTCAGACTTGAAGTCCCAACAAACACCCCATTGTCATCGGCTGCAATTGAAGCCTGAAGCATTGTTTTTTTCAAGAGCAGACGGCAGCAAAAGGAGCTTTGCCGGATGAAGCATGGACCCAGACCAAGCTGTCTCTATATATATATATATATGTGTGTGTGTGTCTATCTAGCTACCTATCTATC